TACTTTTTTCAAAATCGAAGAACTTGGAATTCTGATTTTCTGACGTTATCAGAGGCTGCGAAATGTCTGGCTGCGAAATGTCTGGCTGCGAAATGTCTGGCTGCGAAATGTCCGGCTGCGAAATGTCTGGCTGCGAAATGTCCGGCTACGAAATGTCTGGCTGCGAAATGTCTGGCTGCGAAATGTCTGGCTGCGAAATGTCTGGCTGCGAAATGTCTGGCTGCGAAATGTCCGGCTACGAAATGTCTGGGAGCCGATTTTTCAAGTGTGATTCTGAAGACCGTTGAATTGAAAAGGGACCGTATGCTTCTCAGTACTGACCGGAAAGGGACCATTTACAACTGATATTGTCATTTGGAGACTTTCGTTCATCTAGTCGAGCCGGGAATAGTACAGATAAGGACACGTGGCACGATTAATAGGTAAGAAGAAAACTTCAATTTTTAATATCTCTGAACTTTCTGAAACATATCCTAAAAAGTTTCAGATTCGGCGAAGCGGGACCACTCGTCGATGGAGTCGTTGTCTCCCTGACAAACCTTCCATCGTTCATTCGAAATACAATTTTGAATACATCGAGACGAGATGTGGCGGAAATTGAAAAGTGAGATTTTAATAAATTGGAGAGAAAAATCTGAATAATTCGGAAATAATCTCCGCCCACTTTGACGGGAAATTAGGATTCTAATGATTTGAAGAGAGAAAATAAATCTGAAAATTTGGCCGAAAATTCTGGAATTTCGAAGTGTTTTTAAGATAAGCTCCGCCCACTTTACAGAAAATTTTGGAAAAGAAACTTTTTCTTCAGAAAGTTTTAAAAAAGTTCACAGAACATGGGCGGAGCCTAAATTTGTTTTCCTTAACTTTCGAGGGGCGGAGCTTCAAATTTAGCGGAACCTTAAAACAGAAACAAATGAGCGGAGCCTGGGAAACCAGAAAATTAGGCCACGCCTACTTTTATAAAATTTAACGAAATATAGATGATTGAGAGTGGGCGGAGCATTAATTTGTTATTCCCAACTTTCATGGGCGGAGCTTCAAATTCACCATACAAAAGTGGGCGGAGCCTAGAAAACCAGAAAATCAGGCCACGCCCACTTTTATCAAGTCGGCTAGGGTTTTAAAATGGAATCCCCAAGCCTTGAAAGTGGGCGGAGCCTGAATTGGTTTGCCGAATTTTAAAGAAAAACTGGGCGGAGCTTGAACAAATGAAAAAAATGGCCACGCCCATTTTTGGATTTTTACATTGAAAATCAGATTTTTCAAATTGGGATGTCCTAAAAATGATTCCAGATTTTTTTTTGATTTGTCTGAAATTTTCCAGAAAATTGATTTTTCTAAAAAGTTGTCAAATACAAAAATGAAGCTCTATTCTTGTTTAGTATACTCTGAAATTTTCAGACAAATTAAAAATATCTGAAATAGCTTGTTTCAAAATTGACTATTTTCCACTGAAAATGCCTAACTTCACCCAACTTGAACAATAAAGGGGCGGAGCCTAATCTGAGATTTTTCGATTTTTAAAAGTATTTCTTTTCAGCTACACCTTCCCACATACTCGCCGAAAACAGTCGATCGTCGAATTCGCCAAAAAATACGCGGGAAAAACGAGTTACGAGGAGTTTTTAGTGAATGTGATACAGAATTAATTAGTCGTTTTTATTTTGGAATTTATATATATATATTGCTTGCTGCTGATTTCTCTCCCCCTGTGATACTATATCTTTATTGTTTTCTTTTTTTGAATTATTTTGAAAAATTATACATATCCGAGGTTTCTTTTTTTTGCTGTTTTCCCCCCTCCACCCATTTATCTCCACTACGGCTTTTTTTTGGGTTCTCTCCTTTTTTCATTGTTTTATGCGATTTTTTGTTGATATAATAAATGGATTTAATTTTTACGAATACCGTAAAACCTGTATTAGAAGGGCCCTCCGCAAAAAATATATTTTGGAGATGTCACAACTTCACAGAGATCTGTCGAAAAAACAGTTCTTTCTCAAAAATTAGCTCTATTTTAGTGAAACTGTTAAATTTTCATGATGTTTGAATTAGAATTCGCCGAGTTTTTTCGATTGAAAAAAATGGCCGGAAAATAGAAGGGCCCCTCTAATAGAAGGGCCTTCCGAACATTCCGTAAATGAACATTCCGTAAAAAAAACACTAAAAAACATTCCGTAAATTCAGAATTCACACAAAAAAAGAATTTTTAAATTTTGGAAAAAATGTGAATATCAGCGTTTTTTAAACATCTCTTAAATTCTTGTAAAGTTGCAAATTCCGAGTTTTTTTCCAGAATAAAAAATTAAATCCATTTATTATATCAACAAAAAATCGCATAAAACAATGAAAAAAGGAGAGAACCCAAAAAAAAGCCGTAGTGGAGATAAATGGGTGGAGGGGGGAAAACAGCAAAAAAAAGAAACCTCGGATATGTATAATTTTTCAAAATAATTCAAAAAAAGAAAACAATAAAGATATAGTATCACAGGGGGAGAGAAATCAGCAGCAAGCAATATATATATATAAATTCCAAAATAAAAACGACTAATTAATTCTGTATCACATTCACTAAAAACTCCTCGTAACTCGTTTTTCCCGCGTATTTTTTGGCGAATTCGACGATCGACTGTTTTCGGCGAGTATGTGGGAAGGTGTAGCTGAAAAGAAATACTTTTAAAAATCGAAAAATCTCAGATTAGGCTCCGCCCCTTTATTGTTCAAGTTGGGTGAAGTTTAGGCATTTTCAGTGGAAAATAGTCAATTTTGAAACAAGCTATTTCAGATATTTTTAATTTGTCTGAAAATTTCAGAGTATACTAAACAAGAATAGAGCTTCATTTTTGTATTTGACAACTTTTCAGAAAAATCAATTTTCTGGAAAATTTCAGACAAATCAAAAAATATCTGGAATCATTTTTAGGACATCCCAATTTGAAAAATCTGATTTCCCCTACTCAGATCGGCCTCGTGAGGGGTATTTTTTCTGAGTCTTTCATGTCCTGCCCTCTATTGTTTCATTACCTGGTCAATAAATTAAATTAAATTAAAAAATGTAAAAATCCAAAAATGGGCGTGGCCATTTTTTTCATTTGTTCAAGCTCCGCCCAGTTTTTTTTTAAATTCTGCAAATCAATTCAGGCATGTTCTGTGAACTTTTTCAAAACTTTCTGAAGAAAAAGTTTCTTTTCCAAAATTTTCTGTAAAGTGGGCGGAGCTTATCTTAAAAACACTTCGAAATTCCAGAATTTTCGGCCAAATTTTCAGATTTATTTTCTCTCTTCAAATCATTAGAATCCTAATTTCCCGTCAAAGTGGGCGGAGATTATTTCCGAATTATTCAGATCTTTCTCTCCAATTTATTAAAATCTCACTTTTCAATTTCCGCCACATCTCGTCTCGATGTATTCAAAATTGTATTTCGAATGAACGATGGAAGGTTTGTCAGGGAGACAACGACTCCATCGACGAGTGGTCCCGCTTCGCCGAATCTGAAACTTTTTAGGAGATGTTTCAGAAAGTTCAGAGATATTAAAAATTGAAGTTTTCTTCTTACCTATTAATCGTGCCACGTGTCCTTATCTGTACTATTCCCGGCTCGACTAGATGAATAAAAATGATGTGATGAGCGATTTGAGAGTTCAGTGTGGCTCCGCCCACTTCTGGAATCTTTGGTGATCCGTTGAGCAAATCAGTTCCGTCGTCGCACGATCCAATGAGTTCGTCTAGAAAAAAGAATATGAATATAAAAAATTTTCAAATTTTTACAAAAATTTGGGGATTCCGAAATTTCAGAATTTTAGGTTCAAAAATTGTGTAACTCTGAAAACTAGAAATTCAAAAATTCAAAAATTTGAAATATCGAAAATTCTGAAATTCGAATATTCAAAAATCCCAAAGATGATTGAAAGATTCTGAAATTCATAAAATCTGAAATCCCGAAATTCTTAAAATTCACAAAATTGGAAACATCAGAAATTCAGAAAAGTTGAAATTGAAAAATTCTGTAATTCAAAAATTCGGAAAATTTTAATTTTTAGAAATTCCGGAATTCTGAAATTTAGAAAATTTAAAAATTCGGAAATATAGAAATTCGAAAATTCAAAGTCTGGAATTCCGATATTTTGAACATCTGGAATTGGAAATCTAACATTCTGAATTCTCGAATATTTCAAATTTCTGGAAATGTGTAATTTATAAAATTACGAAGTTCAAAAATCCGAAATTCGAAAATTCAGAAATTCCGAAATTCAAAAATGTGAGAATTCAAGAATGCAAGAATCCATACATTCAAAAATTGGAAATTCGACAACTAAAATTCTCAAATTCCGAGATTTCATGATTTTCAAATGTTAGCTTCTGAACTTTTAATCGAAAATTTGAAATTCTAACATTCTCAGATTCTAGATTTTTGAAAATCTGGGATTCTGAACTCCGTGATTTCGAAATTCTGATTTTTCCCCGAAATTTCCAAAAACTCACAAACAGGAAAATTGGCCATATCCTCTGGCCTCTCCAGCCAAACCAACATAATTCTCAACGCGCCAGTCCGTCTGGAGACCGATCCATGTCCCATACTTGACCCACCACCAGCGTACGGTCGAAAATCTCGATCACTCAAATTCGACGGACTCTTTTCACCGTGTCGCCTGGCAGTTAGCATTATTTCATTCATGCTATCAAATGATTTCTCATCTGAAGCCGACGAAATTATCGATCGATTGTTGTTGGAACCACGTCGTGAGCTTGATGCGGGCGATGTGATGTTCTGTTTGAACATTCGAACACTTCGTTCCGTTGGCATTAAGAATGCCAGCTCCGAATTCGATCCTTGCTCATCACACCACCAGAGCGCGTGTTGGATTCCATCGACGATGTAGTGGTCGACGCCTTCTGATTCGGATTGGAGCTCTGGTACGAAAAATATATGAAAAATTTGGGGAATTTTTTGGTTTGGTTTTTCGATGAAGTTTTAGGTCTAAAATTGTCTATTTAGCCACAAAATACCGATTTTGGACTTTTTTTTGAAAAATCAATCATTTTGAGATAGAAAAGCACGGGTTCTGAGCTGATTTTCGAAAAAAAATGTCTTTCAGAAATTTGTATGATTCTACAGGAGTTTTCAGAATCTTCCAGAATCCTTCAGAACCTTTCAGAATTCTTCAGAATATTGGAGAGTCTTCTGGCATCTTCTAGAATCTTCTATAATCCTCCAGAATTTCCCAGCATTCTTCAGAATACTTCAGAATCTTTCAGAATCCTCCAAAATCATTCAGAATTCTTTTGAATCCTCCAGAATCTTTCAGAGCGTTACAGAATCATCCAGAATCTCCCAGAATTTCTCTGAATCCTCTGGGAACCTTAAAGCTCATCTAGGATCCTCCAGAATTTTTTAAAAATGTTAGAATCCTTCACTTTTTTACAGTCTTCTGGAACCTGTTAAAATCCTTCAGAATTTTTCAGAACCCTTCAGAATCCAGTAGGTTCCTTCAGAATCCTCCAAACTCATTTTTGACTAGAAATTCTCAATTTTTGCAGACTTTTACAGACAGAGATCAAAACTTTTCGATGAAAATCTGTTTATCCCGATGTCCACACACACTCACTTCGATTCGTTGAATACGCTGTTGACCAGTGTCCCGTCCATGTATCATGTACTCCAATCTCGATTCCTTCACCCAAATTCGACAAAAACATACAGAAATCCGAGCACGAATTCTGAACGTTCAGCGCGTTTTCCAGAATGTCCACCGCGTTGCGTTGTCCCTCTTTTACGTAGAATATATGGGCGGTGAGTTGGGTTCGAGCCGGTGCACAATCCACGGTCTCATGGAGGTCCCGGTAGAATTTGTCGCTGGAAAAATGGGGCTTTTGGGACCGATTTTCATGTTTTTTTCATGTTTGTTTAAAGCTATATTTTTGACCTACTCCTGATGATTTTCAGTCCATTTTTCAACCACCGTAGTTGCTCCAATAAAAGGTCATAACGTTCGTGCATTTTGAGCTCTATTATCTCGGCTCCTATGAGAGATATCAAAAATCCGTCAACTGATAAAGTGTTGGTGATATTATGATAAAAAATTTATCAGTTAGAAGATTTTTGATATCTTTACCAGGAAGCGAGATAATTGAGCTCAAAGTTGACGGTTTGGGTCATTATACTAAATTTCGACATCAATTGTCTCGGCTCCAAAGAGAGATATCAAAAATCTGTAAACTGATAAAATGTTGGTGATATTATGATAAGCAATTTATCAGTTGACAGATTTTTGATATCTTTCGAAAGAACCGAGATAAATGAGCTCAAAGCTGACGGTAATTCTAGCCAAATTACTCACCTCATTGAGCTATCCAACACCACAATTTCGGATCCATAAATTCGATCATTAATCAAACCGAAATCATATAACATCATTCGAATCGAACTACACTTTTCCAGCGGTTTCAATGGAGCGACGATTCGTTCTTCTGGACGCATCCGCTCGAAAACATTGTTTCGTCTCGATTCGTCGAAAAACGAACGTCCGTTTTGCGCGTTTTGTTGCTTCATTTCCTCGGCAATTGCTTCGGTTTCAGGCGTGGATTCTAGGGAGCGGAAGGCGTTGTCGCTGAAAAAAAGGAATTGAGATTTCGGAATCCAAGGTCCTGGGTTTAGGATTCGGAATTCAGAATCATTATCTCATATAGCAATTCAGAAATCAGAATATCTCAAAACCTCAGAATCTCAAAATCTCAGAATCTCAGAATCCTAGAATCTCAGAATCCTAGAATCTCAGAATTTCAGCATATCTGAACCTCAGAATCTTAGAATCTCTGAAACTAAGAAATTCTGAATCTCCAAATCTCAGAATCTTAGAACCTCAGAATCTTAGAATCTCAGAATTTCAAAATCTGAAAATTTCAGCATTTCAGAATATCGAAATTTCAGGGCTTCAGAATCTTAAAATCTCAGAATCTTAGAAGCTCAGAATTTCAAAACCTCGGAACCTCAGAATCTTAGAATCACAAAATCTCAAAATTTCAGAATCTCTAAATCTCAGAATCTCCGAATCTCAGAATTTCAAAACCTCGGAATCTCAGAATCTTAGAATCTTAGAATCTCGGAATTACAGAAGTTCAGAAATTCAGACCAACACTTACAGTTTACACGAATTCTTATAAAACTCGGGCGGTATCACAAACTGCTCGCCAATCGATTTCGGTTGCTGTGGACGTGTGGGCGTGTTGGGTCCTAGAAAAATCTTTGTTTCTGTCTGTTTGTCCGGATGTCCATTTTGGAATTTTTTTCTTTCGCCTTGTGGCTCATCCTTGGAGCTCCTCCGGCGCTTCAAACACCTGGCTTTTGATGTATTGTCTCTTACGTCTGTAGCTCTTTCTATTTTAAAAATGTTTGTCTGTCTGTCTGTCTGTCCAGATGTCCACCACAACCAAATTAATAATCACATCACCAATAAAACCCACACAAAAACCAAAAAATCCAAAACTTTACCATCAGAATCATACGTCAGCTGCTGATCGTCATCATCTGATCCCTCATAAAATGTGGGATGAGTGTTTGGTGATGAACCAATGAATGGAATTGAACCGACCCCAGTTAGAATGGATCCAGTTGTGACGGGAGGGGGCTGAGGAGCCACGGGGTTTGTGCCAGCCAGAGAGGCGGGAGCGGTGCGAGTGGTTACTGTAGTAGGAGAGAGAAGAGATACGGTGGGATGAAGTGAGAGGGGAGGGGTGGAGGAGAGGGGGGAGCAGGAGAATCAAAGGATTTCGAATTTTGAAAAAAATTAGGATTTTAAAAGCTTAAAAATCGAGAATATGCAAATCTAAAAAATCTCGAATTTACTAAATCGAGACACTGAAGTTTGGAAATAATTTTTTTGAAGCTTGGAAATCTCAGATTCTAGAAATCGCTATTTTGAAAGTTTCAGAAAATTCGAAAATCGAAAAATCTCGGGGAAGGAAGAATACCAAAATCTTCGAAATTCTAAAATTGTAGAATCTAAAATTTTGAAAACCAGATAATTCAGAAATTGCGAAATCCGCAGGAATCTAAAAGTTTCAAGTTCTGGAAATCAGCAATCTTCGGATTTCATGATAATTGATTTTCATGGAAAATTCGAAAATTGAGAACTTCAGAAACTTTGAAATTCAGAAACCAGGGAATCGAAAATTTCAAATATTCTAAAATCTTAAAATTTCAGAATCGCAGAAATTCAATATCTCAGATTTTTGAAACCAGACTCAAAATAATAAAAAATGCAGCATTTCCAAGTTTTAGCATCTCAAAATCTTAGAAATTTCAGAATATTGAATTTTTAAAATTTTTAAATTACATTTGGAAAACCCAAAAATCCAAAAATTCCAATGAAATCCAAAATTCGGAAAATCGGAAATTCAGAATTTCGAATTTTTGGAAATTTGGATTTTCAAACTCCCAGTAATTCAGAATCGCAAATGTTTAGATTTTCAAAATCTCAGAATCCATACTTCGAAGTTTCAAAAGCCTAGAATCTGAGAATCTCAGAAAATTCTGAAATTCGGAATTTGAGAAAATTCGAAGTCTGGAACTTCTAAAATGTTCGAAAATCGGCCTTTTGTGAAAAATGATTTTTTCTCCAGAATCCTCCAGAATCTTTCTGAACTCTCCCAGGTGTAATTTTATCAGAATCTGGGACCAAAATCCCTGTGCTCTCCAGAATTTACCTTTCGACGCTACCGACATTTTCTCATGTACCAAAATCGATGAGGATCCAGATCCAGATCCTTGAGGTGCCGACGTGGCAGATGCCATGGAACAAGAATCATGGGCTAGAACGGGTGGATTACGGGAGATAGGAAAGGGTGTTGGTTAGTTTAGAGTTAGTGGAAAAACAAAGGAAACAATTAAAAAATGGACAAAGTCATGCCTCTGGACATCTGGACAAACCGACATCATGCTGTTTGAGATTTTTCAGCCAATTATAATTTTCCATTTAAAAAATGAACCGTGCCTTTCTTTCTGTCTATTCTAAGCCATTCGTTCGAATTCTCTTGTTATCAATAGAGCGCACTTTCTAAAAGCACTCACCTTCAAATCCATCATTTGTCATTGCTGACATCGGGGTCATTGGGGGTGCTCCAATCACGTCTGGTTGCCAATTTTCTGGTTTTGGGCGGAGCATCGCCACTCCTGTATTGGCTCCTTGCATGGGGGATCGGCGGACGTAGACGATGGAGGCGCTGTCTGGAATAATAACGGATTTTGATGAGAGATGGGTGGTGATGGCCTAGAAATTCTAAAAGTTCGGCGAAGGAGATTTTTAGAGAAATTTTTCGAGACGAATTCATCTTGAAGT